ACGCAGCCCCCGAGGTGGATCCCACGCTGCACGCAGCCCCCGAGGTGTATCCCACGCTGCACGCAGCCCCCGAGGTGTATCCCACGCTGCACGCAGCCCCCGAGGTGTATCCCACGCCGCACGCAGCCCCCGAGGTGGATCCCACGCTGCACGCAGCCCCCGTGGTGGATCCCACGCTGCTCCTGCTCTGCCCACTGAGGTCCTCACTTCTCTGCTCCGAGGGGGTCCCGGCAGATGCTCCTCACTTCTCCTGCTCCGAGGGGTCCCGGCGGACGCTCCTCACATCTCCTGCTCCGAGGGGGTGCCGGCGGACGCTCCTCACATCTCCTGCTCCGAAGGGGTGCCGGCGGACGCTCCTCACATCTCCTGCTCCGAAGGGGTGCCGGCGGACGCTCCTCACAGCTCTTGCTCCGAGGGGGTCCCGGCGGACGCCCCTCACTTCTCCTGCTCCGAGGGGGTCCCGGCAGACGCCCACACTTCTCCTGCTCCGAGGGGGTCCCGGCGGACGCCCCTCACTTCTCCTGCTCCGAAGGGGTCCCAGCGGACGCCCCTCACTTCTCCTGCTCCGAGGGGGACCCGGCGGACGCTCCTCACTTCTCTTGGTCCGAGGGGGACCCGGCGGACGCCCCTCACCCTCACTTCTCGTGTTCCGAGGGGGTCCCGGCGGACGCTCCTCACTTCTCGTGCTCCGAGGGGGTCTCGGGGAACGCTCCTCACCTCTCCTGCTCCGAGGGGGTCCAGACGGACTCCGCACTTCTCCTGCTCCATGGTACTGTAGGAGTTGTGCTTTCCCTGGTCTCTGTTTCCCTCTAGTGTTCTACATTTGTCTGCTCCCCCTCTGATGTCTGCACCTGTGATGTTTCACAGGTGTTTTGTGTTAGTCTCGTTAGTGTGTGTATTTAAGTCTGTTTGCCTGCGTCCCTCATTGTCTGGTCATTGTCTCACTGTGATGCCTGTTATGCTCCTGTATCCTGCGTCTTGTCCCATGATTCATGTATGTTTGCTGCCCCGTCATCCATCTTTATTTTGTAAAGAATAAATTATTTATTTATATTCCTTGAGTCTTGCCTGCCTGCACCAAATGGGTCTCCTGCCTAGAAATCATCACACACGGGGGTTACTGGTGCCCATATCCAGCTATCACTGTGCGAGAGGCAGGGGACACCTGGACAGGTCTCCAGTCGATCACAGGGACACAAAGAGACAAATGAGACAAACAACCATTCATTCTCTCACTCATTACTAGAGACAATGTAACGTTACCAATCAGCATAACATGCATGTTTTTGGTCTGTGGGAGGAAACCCACGTGTGTACAGAGTGAACATGCACTCAAAGGTTTTGGGTTGGGACTTGACCTGGCAACCTGCACAAACTACAGTGAGTTAAATCAAGCTGAACAGAATTAAAAAATCAAACTGAGTCCATATGAATTAAACCAAGGTAAACAGTTCTGTGCACTAAAGCATCACTGCTAAATGCTACTGCTGTTTTTTAAGTCACTAAAGAGTCTGACCCTGAGACTGACTCATAATGTATACATGTTTTACTTCATATACAGTACCTGAGTATGCACAAACTTTAGGTATATATCATGAAACTTTAGGTATATACAGTAGTATATCATGAACATTATAAAGGTGTCAGTCACGTGGTCAGTTTTACTGCAGCTGACAACGTAGAAGACAAAAGTGTGAATTAGCAGAAGTCTCTTGGTGTTCATGATCACATCTGTTAGTTTCTTCTTGACAACCTTCTCTTCCTCTTTTTGTCCTCAAGAGTCGCCTCCCGACCATTAAAGTGAAATACCTTTTTCTTGCCTGGCTGGGCATCCTCATCGTCAGCTGGATCATCTACATGCAGTATGCATCATATGCCGAACTCTGCCGTGGACATGTTTGTCACATGATCATTGTAAGTACCCTTACATAAACAATTTCTTGTTTCGACTTGTGAAGGAAAAGTTGGCTTCAAGTAAAACCTAACTGGCAACCCTTCAAAACATTTAGCTACATGCTCAGTTTCATTTGATATTTATCCTTAAATCTGTGTCTGTAGATAACATGACAGAGCAGTATTCCAGATGTTAAACTTATAGCTGAACATTTACTGAGAGAATGCATATGGCCTAGCTGCCTTTAAAGACAGAGTTTCAATTCAAGATGGCCCCCACAGTCATGTCTTGTGAGATGTGCTTATACTTGGAGTATGTTGAGCATGACTGCCAACATGAACGTAACATCTTTCATCTGTCATTTTGAGTAAGTTATAAACATGATGGATGGATGGATAATGGATGGATGATGGATGGCTGGATGGATGAATGATGGATGGATGGATGATGGATGGATGGATGGATGGATGGATGGATGGATGGATGGATGATGATGGATGGATGATGTTGGATGGATGATGATGATGATGGATGGATACTGGATGGATGATGCTGGATGGATGGATGCTGATGGATGGATGATGGAGGATGATAGATGGATAATGGATGGATGGATGGACAGTCCTTGTGTTGTGTCTAACTAAAACTGAACTGTTTCTTGTTATTGTGCTAAGCTAACCTTTTCAAACATGTCATACCTGTTCAGTCGTTGTTATTTGTCCTGTCATGAACTTTGTCCTTTAGTTGAGGCCTGTAGAGTCTTAGATGCAGCTCTTGGGTTTTTGGTAATTTCCATTAGCATTGCACTGTCTGACATTGGGGTGAATTTGCTGGGATGTCCACTCTTGCCAAGAATTTTCATTTGTCTTAAATACTAAACTAATCCTCCCTGTAGAATGTTGAACTCTAAATAATTCAGAAATTACTGTTAACCCTTCCCAAAACTAATGGGCAGCCATTCTTGCTTCTGTAAATTTATTGCTGATGGCCTCACATCTTGGCATTGTGTTAACACACACCTGTATGCTCCAGAGCAGCAAACTGACAAGACCTGCTTTAATAGAGGTGATTAAATCTGGGGTGTTCTGCTAACTGAACTAAGTGTTAAAAAAGGGGCATTTCTTTGTAAATTTGTGTCTAGTTTACAAAAACATCTAAGTATGATATTCAGCTTGTAAGAGTACATAAATGAGGTCACTTCCTGTTTCTTTAAATGGAGGGTTTCTTGTTCATTTTACAGTGTGATCACTATAGAAGGGGGGTAATTTCAGGCTCCTCCTGTAAGGCTTTGTGTGATCAGAAAACTCTGAGCCTGCACCGCTGCATGTCCACCTCCTCAACACACCAGGTAAAACACACACACACACACACACACACACACACACACACACACACAGCCTTGTTTATATCACCTAGTTGGGACTCAAGACAAGGCCATGCTTTCTGGGAACCTCCCTTTCTGAAGGTAATACAGCTCTGCAAAAAATCATGTAGCATGCTAGAGGGGCAGGGAACAAAGAGGGCACTTTGAATTTACAATAAGACAAAGTAGAGTTCCCAACTTGACAAGAACCTGCTTATTGGGGACTTCTCAGGTTTTTAGTACTGAGTGGGGTAATACATACACACTTGTCAGGTTTTCAGTACT